CGGATAAAACACCACATCAACAAATTTTACTGGGTAGGTTGAGTGGTCTTCTACTGCAATTCTCACATTTTACCCAACACCTCTCACCATGAGCACATACCTTGTCTTTTTAATAATGTTCGACAGGATGCAAACGCTTACTAGAATCATTTTTTTTGATGCAAAAAAAAGCCTTTCCAGACCAGATATCAAACCCAGATACTGAGGTCACATATCAAGGATTCACACCAACACTCCTTGTCCTACCTTACCAAGCAGGTAGGAACACAGACCTGTGTTTTAAACCATTAGTTATAGCCATTTTATGCACATCGCTTTAGAAATACAACTGTCAAGGCTCCGACTGGTACCTGCTGAGCATATCTGCCATAATGTCCAAGGCTTCCAATTGGACAGACACATCCTCCTGTTTTGCAATAGCGCTTGTCAAACGCCCTGTAATTTTTTTGCAAACATTTGCTGCCAAAGCAGACCCTGCAGGATAAAATAAGGGTGATTAAAAGGTTCCCATAAGTTAGAATTTATATATCCAAGCAACGTTGGTCAATTTCTGTAATGGCTTACATCAGTTTTCATGATCTGCTGCAATGCTACATGCTATACTAATGAATAAAACAGAAATCAAATATTCAAAAAACAAAAAAAACACCACATTCTCCCATTTATCACTAAGTTTACATGAAACCAAAATACTTAAAACGTTTATGCATGCAAAGGTGCTAAATTTATTACTACAACAGATCACATCCAGCAAACCTGAAAGTGTTTAACAAGAGATAGAAACTAATAGTACATTTTCCTAAACATTGGGAAGAGGTCACACTGTGTGCTTTTATTTTTTTTAATAGAAGTGTAACTGAACCAAAAACTTTTTTTTGCAGTTTTGGATAGTCTGTCTTTTTCCCCGTACCCCTGATTCACCCACTCCTTTTGACCTTGGTGTCCATTTATGACTGCTAATGCTGAGAGTGGTAGAAAATTCTAATTTGTGGGTTATCAGAAGAGTAATAGATGGGAAATCTTCCCAAAGGGACACCACTTCTAGTGAACCTAGTGGAAAAAGAAAAAAAAAAGGTTTTCGCTTGAGTTCTGCTTCAAGTTTACCACAAGACTAGTTTGAAGCTATTGTTTCCCTCAAACACTTAGAGAACTATGAGGCGAGTGATTTCCAATCATCCTCAGTTAGAGCAAACCCATGAAGGCTTTTCACTGGTCAGCTCTATTGATCGGGAAGTGAGCAAAAACATGCAGCGCATCCGCTCACTTCTGAATCGTCTCCCTGCAGTGAGCTATGACTGTCAGTCACCGCTTCCCACAGGTAATCCCCCAGCGATGAGTGGAGAAACTAACTAGATAGGCAGAGCCAGCTGTCACTCACGCTGCTGGGTGGATCCAGACAGTATTGTCGGGATCCGTCCCGGGTGTGGTGCTCAGTATATTGCAGGCAATAGCCCGCTATATACCGAGCTTTGGGTCACGAGAGGGGGTTACTATATGTCCTCCCTTGACCCCCAAAGAGAACTATGGGGACACTTACCCCACAGTTCTCAACTCAATCATACAAAAATATTGCTGATCAGCATTATTTACTATAGCAAGATAAAGATAAGACACGAAAGATTAAAAAAACAAACAAAAAAAAACAAAAAAACTTACCACTGGATGCCGGAGGAAGCTCTCCAATTACAGTCTTCAACCCAATGCTAGATATATCACGTAGCTGCTCCTTGTCTGACAACATATTTGTACAGAGTGTGTCGACAATGGTTTCAACTTGATACTCTTTAACTTTACTTACTAGAGGACCAAGGCTTTTAAAAATAAAATAAATACTGTTAGAAGTTATCAGAAGCAACTAAAAATACATCAATTTTAGCTGGTGGGTAAGCACCAAATTCACTGCAACATTGGGGTCAATTCACAAAGAGAAACGTTATTTGCTCTCTCTAGTTGTTCATTTAGTTAGTCTAGTTGTTCATTTACCTCTCCTTATTTTTCGTTTGAAAACATGGTATTCATGAAAGACTCAATCGTTATTTAGCATGCTTGTTAAGGCTTCCACCTGAATAGTAAGGGAGTTATTTTTACGTGTTCAACATTTTAGCATCTGAAACCTAATTTTTTACCCCTCAAGAATTTTTACGTCTTGAAATCGCAGAATTAACTTTAAAGTGTTAAAATGTGTTTGATGCATTCTGGGACCAGGGGAGAACAGTACCAACAAACTGCAGTGTTGTATGTAAACAACTTTATTAAAACTGTTGAAGTCTACATGTTACTAAGTTTTTAAAGCTGGAGTAGAAGTGGCTTTCCACAAGTCGGTAAGAAGGTTACCGTAGTATCAGTGCATACATTTCAAAGGATGACAGCGCCACATTTATCTACCATGTCCAGTAAATCTTTATTTGCCATAATAAAAAAACATTTTGGAAACAGCCAACATGCTTCAGAAGTTATTGGCTTCCCTTCATCAGAGTTCAGTACCGTGTCTCAATTCTTTCAGAGATCCTCTGAACCTCCTTAAAGTTCTTCCAAATTCCCATTTAAAATTCCTTATGTTGCTGTTGTGTTCACACTGACCTCTGCTTTTAAAATGAGGACAAATTATTTTTTGGTTCTGATCGATGGATTCTGGAAAACACCTTCCTCCCCACCAACACAGCCATAGGCAGAGTCAATGTGAACACAACAGCAAGCAAGCAAGCAAGAAACTCATGGGTAACCTGGAAGAATTATAGCCCTCTACTCTCCTGTCTAATTAGGGCCTGTGCTAGTCCAGCTCTTCTTCTCCTGCACTCCCTAACTAAGCTTTTATGAAGCTGTCAGAGGAGAAGTGAAGGGTAATATTGTAGAGTGCCACTTTAGTGATAGCTCTAAGTCTGTTGACATCTAATCCATGATGGTGGTGCCCAGCAGCATCCACAAGCCTTTTGTATGTCTACACAAAGGGAGAAATTAACAGGTAAATAACACAGACTAAGGAGTATATATTGGGGTTTATAAGGCGCTACTGACATACATAAAAGCATACATTTATTGACACATTTCATAAAACCATAATCGAACATAGAAATCATGTCATTCAAATTAATTACTGCCCCCTCATGGATACAGGATCCTTCGCCGACCACAACCAGTTATAATACACAATATACATATATTGCCCAATATAGAAATGGTTCACTTTCAACGTGAAAATCCATGTCCAGTGGCATTTGATGTACCAAACGCGTTTCACTGATTTCTTCTTCAGGGGATGGAGGCAGCTGTATCTATCAAAAGGGAGCAATACATACAAAAACCAGAACATAATACCAATACAGTAAGCCATGTTTATACAAAATCTTTTTTTGGCATAAATATGCTCTAACCATACTCACCATGAGTTTCATGGGAGCAGGAAAAAAAAATTCAAGGCAAGGGTGGGAGCTCAATAAGTTTTTAATAGGAGTGATTTTTTTTTTCCTCCTCGTCTCATGGTTTGTCCCCCTTTTTTTACCCCCATGCACCTCGCTGTGAGTATGGATAGAGCATATTTGTGCCAAAAACATTTTGTAGAAACATGGCTTACTGTATTGGTATTTTTTTTGTATGTATTGTTCACTTTTGATAGATACAGCTGCTTCCACCCTGAAAAAGAAATCAGTGAAACACGTTGAGTACACCGCATGACACTGGACTTGAATATTTAAGTTGAAAGTGACCCATTTCTATATTGATGTACTAGGCAACATATGTATATTGTGTACTATAGCTGTGGGAGGCGAAGGATCCTGTATCATGAGGGGGCAGTAATTGATTTTAATTAAATGATTTCTATGTTTGTCTGATGATGGTTTTATGAAAGGTCAATAAATTATGCTTTTATGTACATTATCGGTAGCACCTTATAAATCCCAATATATACTGCTTAGTTGATGTAAACTGTTGGGGAGCATGGCGCTATGACCATGCATACCTAGATCAGCCGCTAGGAATACAGCTTTTGGCTTGAAAGGTAAATAACATTTAAAAAAATATTAAATGCACATATAATCTTGGAAGATTGTTGTTAAAATTATTGGTCTGGCAACAGGATCTCTAAGCAATTAATGAGATGCAAAACAAGTCTTCACTAACATCTGTAGCGCCACAGATGCACTAAAACCTTTACTAGCCACTGAGTTTCTATAACTGGACCTCTAAATGACACAGGCATTTTGCAAACTTGGGCAACGTTGGAGCCCCGTACACTACCCAGAAATGGCAAAGGGCTCATGAGCTCCACAGGGACTGTTTTATATATTACCACATTTAACTGCTCACACTTTCAAATGTGTTGTTAACTTAGCCTGTTAACAATCAGCATGACCAAAGCCCAGTTTGGCTGACCCTTCCCTTCGTCAAATATCACATGACTAAATGCCAACGTATCTGGTCACATGACCAGCCACCATGGGACCCTAAAGCAGCAATGTCTTCTCAGTCTAAGCATATGAACAGTGATGTTCATATCACTTTAGATTTTCCTTAAGCTAGACAGATGATTTCTGCAAAGTAAATGAACATGAACCAAATAAGAATAAGTAACACGCTGGTTTAAAATTGTAATAAACTTACCATTTCACAGCTAAATTTTGAACTTCGCCATTCTTGTCTTCTAATAGCTTTAAAATCATCTTTACAACTTTCCTTTCACTGTCATCATCCAACTTAATAGAGTCCTTTTGAAGCTCTGTCATCAAGTCATTTGTTGCCATGAACCTGCAAGACAAATTAAAAACCGATTAAACAATAGAAATGCAATGAACTTCTGTGAGATATGGACCTAAAGCAGGAGTGAATAGATTAATTTGGAAATCAGGAGCCAGCAGGATTTTATTTTTCAGGAGCCAGCTCCATTGACAATATGGCTTAGTGGCTAGCACTTCTGCCTTGCAGCACTGGCAGTCCCTCTTATGAATCCCAGTGAGAACACTATCTTCAAGGAGCTTGCATGTACTCTCTTGCCTTGCATGGGTTTCCACCAGGTAGATTTCCCCCTACACTCCAAAGACATGCTGGAAGGTTAACTAGCTCCCATCTAAAATCAGCCCTAGTATATAGTTACATAGTATTTGGGTTTGAATAAAGACATACGTCCATCAAGTCCAACCCATATGGGTCCACGCATCATCTCATTCTTAGGGATACTGATATCCCTGGATATTACGGTCACTCAAGAAATTGTCCAAACGTTTCTTGAACAAATCTACACTCTTGGCTGAAATCACTGCCGATGGCAGTGAGTTCCAGACCTTAACCGCTCTTACTGTAAAGAACCCTCTTCGCCCATTGTGTTGGAATTTTTTCTCCACCAACTTTAGGTGGTGGCCTCTAGTCTTTGTAATGGAGTTAATCTCAAACAGAGATTGTTGCCAATGTTGCTGTCACCATTGAACATCTTGTACATGAAAATCATATCCCCCCTTAATCTCCTTAATTCCAGCGTAAACATGGAAAGCCTTGTCTCATAGGTCTGGTCCTCCATTCCCCTAATTCGTTTTGTTGCCCTCCGCTGGACTCTCTCCAGTTCAAGGACATCCCTTCTCAGTACCGGCGACCAAAACTGGACCGCGTACTCCAGATGTGGCCGAACCAACATTCTATATAGAGGCACAATTATAGACTTGTCCCTGCAATACATCCCCTTCTTAATACAGGACAAGACCCTGCTAGCTTTGTTTACCGCAGCTTGGCACTGCAAGCTACCATTCAGTTTGTGGTCTACAATGACCCCCAAATCTTTTTCTATTTCTGACTTCCCTAGCGGCATACCCATGATGGTATAGCCCAGTGATGGCGAACCTTGGCACTCCAGCTGTTTTGGAACTACAAGTCCCATGAGGCATTGCAAGGCTCTGACAGCCACAGACATAACTCCCAGAGGCAGATGCATCTTGGGATTTGTAGTTTTGGCACAGCTAGAGTGCCAAGGTTCGCCACCACTGGTATAGCCTATTTGTTTATTATTATGTCCAAAGTACATTACTTTGCATTTATCGACATTAAACCTCATCTGCCATAGTATTGCCCACTCCCCTATTTTATCCAGGTCCTCCTGCAATGTTATATTGTCACTATCCGTTTCTAGTACCCTCCCTATTTTTGTATCGTCTGCAAACACGGAAACATGGCTATTTATTCCCTCCCCGATGTCATTAATGAATAGTATGCATGTGAGATAGGTACCTTAGATTGCAAGCTCCTCAAGGGCAGGGACTAATGTGAATATGCAGTATATAAAATGCTGAGTAAAGTGTTGGTACTATATAAATACCTACAATAATAAGGATTTGCTACCTGGCTCCTGGAATTTGTCCAGTCCTGATGTAAAGCATCTAAAATGAACCAAGCACTTTCACATTTGTTACAGAGTAATGCACACCCATGCTCCCAAATAAGTATAATGGAAGATTACACACAAGCATTCCATATCAAATGTTTAAATAGCATTTTATAAAGAGTGACTATAAATACCACTTTGAGGTAAAAATACCAAGCAAACTGCACTGTACCAAAAACACCCCACTACACTATCATCAATGTAAAAACTGCATAGTTTACAAATCAACTGGATTATTTGCACTTAAGGTTCAGACTGAAGCAGTGAGCTGGTCATACACTGGTAGATCTTCATATGAACGTTCATATGTAGAATCTTATCAGAACATTCAAAGATGCCAGAGACAGAGTTTCCCCAAATGAAAACCACATTCACTGTTGGAAATTCGCTCAAGAAAAATTTTCCACCATGCTCCTTTGATATATTTTGCCACTACAGTTGAAAAGGATTGTCGATTTGACACCATTAACTATTTGAAAATCGAACGAATGTTCCAAAAATTCATTTCTTCCTACCAAGTACTACTGATGCCTGTCCAGCATAAACAATTGTCTGCTATACATTCATGTAGGTTTATCAAATGATTACACTGGCCCGGGCTCGCAACGTGTACATTTTAGAAAGAAATAAAAGACCTCCTTATTCTAGTTATGCATTTAGTTACGCATTTTAGTTTAGGGCTGCAACAACTAATCGACATAAGTGATTATTGAAAAAGTTGTCAACTTTTTCAATCGATTAATCGGCTTCCGATTGGTTGGCCCTGTTCACGGCTGCACACACGCTGCGCGCCACACCTCCTCCCCTCCTCATGCTCGCCGCTGCCAGACCCGCATCCACACGCCGCACCTCCTCCCCGCCCAAATCCATGATCGGCACAGGGACGCGGGAGAAGAAGTAAGGAGGAGCAGGTGTGAGCGGATGATAGCCGCTGGTAAACAGGCCCAATCTCAGAAGCAAGTTGCTGGAAGACTGCTCAGGTAAGCCTGCACTTTCCCACACATGGTGCTCTGTAATGTATTGCTGGGATTTGTATTCATCTATAGCTGATGGTACATTTTGCTGCATATTATACCATCAGCTAGAGGAATACAAATCCCAGCAATATATTATACACTGTATGTATAATGTATTGCTGGGATTTGTTGTACTCCTAAACTCATGCAGATCTGGTCCGCATTTGGTGTGAACAAGCCCTTAAAAAACAGACTCTCGTAGACATCTCCATTGCAGCAGTTCAACTACCCACATAAATATTTTACGAACGAAACAAATACATTAAAATCAAGTTTGAAGACACTCAATATGCAAATTGTAGTGTCAGATACACTGATCACTGTGTATTATAAGTTATTAATATTATTATAAGTAGACACCGCTCCAAGATTGCTCCTGTAATAGACTACAATCTCACATTGTCTACTTTACAACACACACAGGGACCATGGGGAACCAAAGTAGCCACCCTCCAGAAGGAAGGACAGTGTCAGCATGAATTCAGAGATGATTTGAGGATCTACAACTGAGTGATGCACAGATGAGCTACATTTTGTTGATAGTTAAAGTTCTTAAATGTATTTCTAAAATCTAACTCCTGAGTTTAGAGTTTAGTGTCACTAAGGACAGTGCCATTGTAAGCTGACCCAACACCAGTAGAATTTGATGCTTGTGCAGTAAACACAAATGCCATCAAGATCATCTGTCATTATTGGTATCTGGGGAGGAAACATACACTGTGTATTTATCTAATTTTTACACCCTTTCCCTCCCCCTTTTTTGGCATGAGGCAGCTGAGCAGCAGCAGCTCAGTTGTGATAGTAATCTATTGAAAGCTGTAATGAGCCAGCACTAGATCGCTAGTTTTCAAGGGGATCCAACAGCTCTGGCCTGACCCTTGTACTCAGGATGTGCTGTCAAGTCATAGTGATATCATATCCCTTACAATGTAAGCACAATGCTTGTTTTAAAGCTCAAATGGTTAAACTTGTGGTTCTCAAGCACAATCTGACACAAGTCTTGCAATTTCACAGAAGCTCCAGAGCCACAGTTCGCCCTTAAACGTCTTAAATTCTGGCAATTAGAGGTGCACAGAAATGGAATTTTCAGACTGAAACTAGAAAAAATTGCCAGGCCGAAACCAAAATTATTATTTTTTTCTAACTTGTTTTTAAAAAAATTTACAAATATTTTATTTTTGACTTTACTTGACAGACCCCTGATATTTCCCTTTTAAAATAGAAAGATTGAGGACACAAATGTATTTTTCTGCAGCCCCTGTTGAGTGAACAGGAAGCCTCTATACTGAGTGCTCCTGTCCATTCATAAATTGAGGATATAGTTTGAATTACTATGTCCACAATCATTAACAGGAAGTGAATGGGGACACAGTAAGCTTGCGATGTCCCAAGTTATTTACCGATGCAAAAATAGGAGAGAGCCCTCCGCACACCCCACAGCAGTCCCGGCCAATTAGAGGATGATGGTGCTCGAAGTGACTCGATTCACGGATGGCACCGTGCAAACACAGAGCAAGAAAGACGCTTTTTGTCCAATAAAGGGACATTTCTGCTTTCAAGTTTCGAGTGCTGGTGACTTTTTGTTTTTTGCTCTAAGTTATTTACCAACACGCTGCAATCAGCTGATCCGAGTATACCGCAGTGTGGAGAGGAGAGCTGGGCATCCTGTGACACAGCTGACGCCTCCCCTGCACCGCTAGCTCGGCCTTCTGTGATAGCTGGGAGGACAACACTGACAGCGCTCTGCTCCCCACCCTGCTCGGCCTCCTGACAGATTCTCTCCTCCCCGCTGGGTGCTGCTGTGTCAGAGAGGGTAAATAATAAGTGTTGACAACAAAACAAAAAAATAAATAAAAAATAAACATCGATTAAGAGATTAGTTCTAAATCAGGTCCACATTCCTTGTGACTGACAAAGGACAACAATTGGCAGATTCCCCAGTGGCTAAACACAAATTAGCAGCTATGGAATCTGTCCACTTCCATCTGCTGTCAATCCAAGGGAGGACCTAATCTCTCAGCATCACCCATTAAGCCCCACTGTAAGAAAATTTAGAAGCGTTATTGGTTGCTAGGATGCTTTCGACTGTGCAGCTGCAGACAACTGAATGTAAACAAAGAGGGGGATGATGGCTGACAACGACCCAATATGGCTATTGCCATGTTTGGGTAATGACATCAGACAGCATTCCCAGCCACTGTTTAACATTAGTTCCCCGCCAGGTTCTGAATAGGGCTAGGATGCCCAAGTCCTAGTTTTGATGAGTCCTGAGCAGGAAGCGGTCACATTCATGACCGCTTTCCAGCACAAAACACGCCCTGCTCTATACTACAGTGTTAAAGCGATATTAAAGCTTGGGGGGTGTTTATTTCTATGAAGAGGAGACCCATACCTTCAAAATTCAATTGTTTTAAATAACAAAAAAATTCCAGTTCCTTGTCCTCTAGCGAGTCCCCCCAGCTAAGCAGCTGCTGGGGAGGCACCCATGCGTGGTCACTCCCGGCCATGCCCACAAGTTGCTGTGTGTCCATGGAGACACATAGCCCTGCGGCAGGCCACGCCCTTCATCTCAGTCCAGCAGGTTGATTGAGGGCAGAAGAAGCCTTCATGATTGAGGGCTCTTCTGCCCTCAATCATGAAGTTTGGAAGGAGGATCGCAGTAAGGTACTGGGCTATTTTTTTTTAACCTTAATGCAGACAATGCATTAAGGTAAAAAAACGCTCAACCTTTAGCAATCCTTTAAGAGCAGGGCATGTTTGTGTGTACCTATTTCTAACAGCTACATGAATCTGTTGCACCCCGACATTTGCTGTGTAGGGGTGAGACAAAATTCTCATAGACACTCTTTATGAATTCCACGGACTGTGTACACAAACTCCCCCAGACTGCAATAGTTGAACTTTCCTTTTGGGTTTAAAAAAAAAATAAAAAATTATCACAGCGGCTGCAGATAAAAATGGAAAGACAATCTGTAACATGTGTTACATAAAGGCTTGTCCCTGTGGAAGTATTAAAAGCACTTCCAGTAATCATGGAGATTTTTTTTTTTTTTAAGCGTATTGAAACCCAAAAGTAAAAATTATGTTGCTGTAGCTGCTTAAAAAAATAAGTGTTTGGCTCCTTTCACACGGCCGCTCCGGTCCACCTGTCAGTATTTCAGGTGGACACGATCGGATGCCAAATGCAAGTCTGCCAAGTCCGGAAAAACATACGGAACGTTGTTCCCTTTTGCCGGACCGGATTGGGGGGGTAATATTGATGTAAATGAACACATATGTTTACATTAGATCCCCTTAGAAAGATATGGTGTCCGGTAATGTAAGTTTTTTGCTCCATCGCGAGATGGAGGAAAAAAATTATAAATGTACAGACATGCATGTGACAGTGGTGACATCCACTCCTTACTCTGATCAGGAGAGGATCCCTGCACGGATCTCCTCCTGATCAGCCTTTGTGAAAGGGGCCTTAGATGGAGTTTGGATTTAAATTGTTAGTCAAGACAGGGGTGGACAAATGCCAAACCTCCAGCTGTTATGGATCTTTAAATCCCAGGAGGCATGGCAAGATTCTCCCAGCCATAAGCATGGCCAGAGCTTGCCCACCCCTGGTCAAATCCATCTAACACTACCATCTATACAGGGTGACAATGCTGCTGTCCAAGGGTGGCTCTGTTGCTCCTCCATAAGGTGGAGCCACCCTAAGGCAGAAAGTGTGTCACTGGCTGGATCAAAGCAAAAAAATAAAACAAAATGCAGTCACCACATCTAAGGATGGATAAGGTTCAATGAGAGAGATTATATATATATATATATACTGT